AAAGCGTCGGTGACACCGACGGAGGAAGAGAGGGAACGCAGCGAGCGGCATAAGAGAGGGCATCGTGAGAAAGAGAGGGCTAGGGTTTGGGGAGTAGAGAGAACGATGAATGAATCGGGTAACAACGTGGTTCTAAAAACTAATTATATAAGGGTAAAATAGGTATTTCAAATTGTCTAGGGGGTCTGTCAAATTAAGTTTAAAATTTGGGTTTTTGACTAGAACAAAAAAATCAATTGGACCTCCTCATATATATTTTCAAAACTAGGGGGTTATCTCACATTCTCCCCTAGTTATATTAGGATGGATATAAGATCATTTTCCATATTAGTGAAAACCCCCCTCATTATATATTTCAATTTACCATAAATTCAAATTTTAGGGATATCTCTATATTACCCTTAAATATCATTAACCCTATTTTTCCCCTCACTTTTCTTCACCAGCCGCATCTCTCTCTTTTTCTCTCCCTCGCCACAGATCTGCACCTCCGCCACGCAGCCTCTCCCCATCCCCGCCTCACGATCTTCTATATTTTTTTTCATCCCTCTTCTTCTCTCCCAATAGCCTTTTTATGTGCGAATCCCATGGTCAAGGGCAATTATGAAGAAGATGACGAAGCTTCTTCTTCAATCCATTTCTCCGCCGTTTTTTGGGAACAACTTCCAGCGTCACATGACTCCGATCCGACGTCGACGACCTCTTAGCCTTCATGGCGGTGTAACAAAGGTGACAACGAGATCCGGATCGAAGCAAACGAGATTATTTAGGTTTGTCTGTCAAATTCCTTCATTATTTACTCATTTTTATTTTGCAACTGATTGATTTTTAGATTAATTGTTATGATGTTGTTGTCTTGATTCAATTGTCAAATTACAGTATGATTCGATTTCTATCATGTCTTATTTGTTGAATAATTTTGTGATTTGAGTCTTGCGTTTGTTTAAATAGAAAATCAACAATTTGTTGATGTTATTACAAATTTTGGATATTATTGTGTGTTCTGATTTGAATTTTTATTGAATTGTTTTGTGTTTGTCTTTATGTATGAAATAGTTGTGGACATCGGGATTATTTTATTTTATGCATAGCACATTCGATTTGTTCGTTATATTCGGTGGCCATCAAAGGCGTTGGAATCGACTATGGGAGACCCTTCGTTTTTTTTTTGGTAATGGTTAATCCTCTCTACCTCCACCCTCGTCTCCATCGTCGGATCTGGTAACATCGCTCTGCCCCACCGCAACCATAATTTTAAACAAAAAATCGGAGATGTTTTTGTTGATGGGTATCTTTTGTAGCAATATAGTTGTTTTCGTTATTCTACTGTTTTGTATAGTTGTTTTCGTTATTCTACTATTTTGTATAGTTGTTGATGGGTATCTTTTGCAGCAATATAGTTGTTTTTTTTTTTTTTTTTCTTTCGATTTTTTGAAGCATTCCTGGAATCCTCGTCGGAAGACCGCCTCCACCACCGCTGTAATGGAATAGATTGACCTCGAGGAGGAGGTATTGTTTGGGAGGCTGGTTTGTTGAAATTGTGTTCGTGTTACTCAAAAAGATATAGTTGTTTTCGTTACGGTTGTAGTTGGTTTCAATAATAGTCGTTTTTGTTGGAATTTTGGTGTATTTTTTGGCTTTTGCTTTTGTGGATTTCAATAATTTGTAGTTGATTAAATATAGTTGTTTTCGTATAGCAATATAGTTATTTTTGCACAACAATATTATTGTTTGAATAAATAGTTGATTTTAACAAATAGTTGTTTTGGAGATTTTTTGATTAAATAATTAGTTAATCTTACAATGGAAATAATATAATATATAATCAACTTAATAAATTGTGAAACTTATGTATTATTGTTTTAATACTAATTGTTTTAATAATAGTCGTTTTAATAATAGTCGTTTTATTGGCATATAGTTGTTTTAACTGAAAACTAAAAGAATATAGAAAATAAATATTTAAAGAAAAATATTAAAAAAAATAAAAAAAAAAGTTTTTTTAAAAAAATTATTATTTTTTAAAGAAGAAATAAATAAAAAAATGAAAATTAAAATTAAAACATAAAAATAAAAAAATATCAAACTAGTGGATAATAAGTAGTGAATAGTGGGAGGGTAAATTTGAGAATATAAAAAGAATGGGTTTCTCACTAATAAAGGAAAATGAGCTGGACCCATCCTTATTAAAATAATGTTAGAGGGGGTTCTCACTAATAGTCCCATAATCTATATTATATATAAAACTAAGATACACAATCAAAGTTTTCTAATTGAGGAGATTGAGTCCACAATATTTTATAAATTTTAAAATAACCCCACTTACCATATTCACCCATATTACTAATGAATTAATTTCACATTATTGGTTTTTTAATTTTTTATCTCTCCTACATGTCAAAATGGTGTCATTTTATTGGTTATTGATTTTCCTTTTATATCCATTGCTTCATAATTAAATACGTAATATATATAAATGACAATCCACATTATTTAAGTAAGTAATGTTATCTGCACAATATTATATTAATTTCCAACAAAATCCAAGGTTCAAATGTCATCTATCCTACATGGCAAAATAGGGTCTTTTTATTGCTTAATGAGTTTTTTTTTATTATAATATTTTCATTAAAAAAATCGTGGGACTGAAATGCAATTATGTTCCACCACATATATCACATATTATTATTAATTTCAAAATAACCCAACTTACCATATTCACCCATATTACTAATGAATTAATTTCACAATAATGATTTTTAAATTTTATCTCTCCTACATGTCAAAATGGTGTCTTTTTATTGGTTATTGATTTTCCTTTTTAATCCATTGCTTCATATTAAAAAACGTAAATATATAAATGGACATTCCACTTAATTTGGGTTATTTAAATTTTATGCACAATATTATATTAATCGCCAAAAAAACCCAATTTTCAAATTTCATCTATCCTTACGTGGCAAAATAGTGTCTTTTTATTGGTTAATGAGTTTTTTTTTATTATAATATTTTGATTAAAAAAATTGTGGGACTGAAATGCAATTATGTTCCACCACATATATCACATATTATTATTAATTTCAAAATAATCCAACTTACCATAGTCACCCATATTATTAATGAATTAATTTCACAATAATGATTTTTAAATTTTATTTCTCCTACATGTTTATTTTTAAAGTAGTATAGATAAAATAGGTAATTACATCAATTTATATTAATTACTTTTTTTGTTACCTTTTTTATATTCCCTAACTCTACTATAAATTAACATTCAACATGATGTACATTCTTCAACTTTTCCACATACTTTTTTTTTTTCTGTTTCGGAGATATGGAGAGAATTCTTGAAAAAGAATTGCATTGGTATCACCTACATGCAATGGTATATTCATCATAGTCTCTTTTTTAGTGTAACAATGAATTATTGTTTTATTTTGTATCTGATTTCTTCATTCAATTTTATATGTAGCCTTTAAAGAATGCTTTTGTTGAGGCTTCTCGGTTGACCGGATTGTCTACTATCAATATTCGATACGAGGAGGGAAATCATTTTCAAGTTGTGGTATCTTCGCGCCAAAAACATGGAAAAATGTATATGTTGTTGACTAAGGGTTGGACAGAGTTTTGTTACGCACATAACATGGTTTGCGGCAACACGTATTCTTTTTTTTTAACCAATGGGATGATGTACCTGAGGTGTGGCACGGCTCAGCCTTTCCAACGATATGATATGTCTTCGCCCTCCTTAAAGTTTTATTATTAATAATATGAGTTGCATCGATTTATAAATAATTTCCACTTTTTTAGTGTTTTATTTATCATGTTGAAAGAGCATTGTATACCATTAACATAATTGTGCGCATCCACACGAAAACGAATACCCATAAGATAATTAAATAAATATGTAGAAACGAGAAAACAATTATAATGTATTACAAAAATTGTCACAATATATATCACGTATTTTTAAATAAAAGAATCCGTTAAATCAATAGAATCAATATGCATATTTAAACAATAGATTCCGTTATTTTTATAAGCAATTTTAAATGTTCAAAAAGCATAACCATTATATATAATAGTGTGTAATTAACATGTTTGAAATTTATATGTTTTTTCCCTAATCCGTTTTATATATATATATATATA